CCAAAGTTTGAAACTTTGAAAGTTTAACTGTGCTTGGCTTCCTTATGTTTAGAGGAAGGTGATAAGCAGTTAACTTGGGGTTCTCTGGAGTAGTGGCCAGATGCAGCCCCATGAACTATGCAAGAAGCAAGTGATTCAGGTTGAACTTGTCCTGAGATCTGCCAGCCACTACCTTTGTTTCCCCCCACCACCCTGGAAGAAAGATGATGTCCTGTCTTTTTGTCTGTAAATCTACATGGTGACTCCAGGTGATGTTTGGTCACGAAGAAGCTCCAATTTTTCCTCTTCATAATTTAATCAAAGACATTTTTCAGAACCTACTGCTTGCTCTTGGAAACAGGAACTTCAAAGTTGGGGAGTCAGTGAATAATTTAAGCAGTACCAGCTCTCTGGGTCTGCTGTTAATGGGCGTAATAACCCTATTAATAGCAATGTCAGTGCAGACTCTCTGGAAAAGTCCATAACATTAGCCTAATGGCTGAAGGTAATGGAGTCCTCACCGAGAAGCTGGCCCAGTAAATTAACTTCCAAGATTCAGTGGCAGATGCTCTTGTTGCCATCGGTCTGCTGGAGCAGCCAGGGAGTGCCACGGGGAAGGGGAAGACCAGACTCATGTCTGTCTGACCTTTCCCTCCTCAGTTGGTGTCTTTTAGAATTCCTCCTGGAGAATCAGCTTTGTCCAATGAGTGACGATGGTATTTAAAGCACTTTCCAGGGAAAGGTAGAAATATCGATGAGCCTAGAGAAAATGGTGGAGGGAGATGCTGAAATCATCCTAAGCGTATGACAGGAGCATCAGGATGGCAGGGAAAATGGGTTTAGTCTGCAACAAGGGGGTCTGCCCTTCGGTTCTGTCTAGAAGCTTCTAGAAGCTGAGCACAGTGATAAAGAGCAGAGGCTTCAAGTTCATCTGTGCTTGATATTGAGTCTCTCTAATTAACTAGTGACTTAGACAAGTTACTCACCTACCCTCTTCTGTGATTTCCTAACCTCTAAAACATTGGGGGGAGCTATCATAGCGTTGTTGCAAGACTTAAATGGCATAAAATGAAAACCCTATCACAATGCCTACCTAGTAAGCATGTGATAACGAGTGGTCATGCCTGCATTATTAAGGATTGTTTTGACTTTTGCATTACACACTCAATTTCCTGTAAGGTCCTCTTTTTGTCCTGGTGTCTTCCTTCCCTTTCCTCCTCTTCCTTGGAGATGCAGCTTTAGTCTATCACCTTCAGTGCAAGTTAGCTAAATTCTCCTCTGAGGCTATCCTTCCCAACTGTGACTAAAGGTGTCTTCTTCCCCCATGGCTGAGAGGATAGGCCCCATAACTCTCCTCTGGGTCTAAGAATTACTCCAAGAGTCACTTAGGGTGTCCAGGTGCCTCCTTTCCCTTCTGTCCTTATCCCACACGGCACCCCTCTGCCTCCGAAGACAGTTATTTCCTTCCCAAGTTCCCTCCTCATGTGAGCTCCCAATCCCTGGGTGCTCTGCTCCCTGTGAAATGCCTTACCCAGACCTCCCTCCCATCCTGCAACAGCTCCTGACATCATCCTTCTCTTGTCCTCATTCTCCAGCAGAATCGGTATTCTGGAATTTCCAAAACATGCCCACTTTGCACAGCTCCATGTTCACGAGGCTTGTCTGACATGGATTAAACACTGTGCCCTGAGCCTCAGATTCCTTCACGCAGTGAACTCATGGTGGTGTGCATTTGGGTATGGCCCCTGGTTTTATGTGCAGCTTTCACAAGCCTTCGTCAGTGAAGACTGTAAGATCCCAGGTCACATTGGATGGGGTACCCCTGTGACACAGTACACTTTGTACAACACAGAGCATTAAACAGTAACAGCAAACCCTACAGAGCAGTTCCCTGGTGCCATAGAACTGGGATTCTGATGCAGAGCGTGCCGTTAACTACCCTCTGCTCCTTTGATCCTCCCTGCTGCCCACCTGCATTTATCTTCTACTTAAGACATGAGACATGCGGGGGATTCCAAAAAGAAGTCAGACAGAGTTTGTTCTCTTGAGAAACTCATACTTGGTAGGAAGGGGCTGCACTCAGCCCAATAATCATCCTATAATCTAAGAAGTTCTAGATTGTTGGAAACTCCTTGGACATAGTGGAGAAGGACCAAGCTTGAGGAAGGACAGATACTGGAGCTGCTAGATATGCCTTACCTCAGTTTCAGCCCCTCTCTGGACCAAGTGATTCTTTCCTGAGTAGCCTGTTGGTTCTGTCCTTCCTAGGTGTACCCGGAAAGAGCGATGTGAGCGGTCCAGGGAACCCCGCAGGTTCGCTTCAGAGATGAAGCAGTGTGTCCGGCTGACGGTCCATCCCAACAACATCTCTGTCTCTCAGTACAATGTGCTGGTAGGTGTTGGGGGATCTGGATGGAGGAAAGAAATCTCCCCACCAAAAAGCACCTGAGCCCAGTATCCTTCAAGAAGACTAGACCAAGTCCAGTCAGCAAGAGCAGCTGTAGTTCAGGAAGGAAAGTGCCAGTGAATAAGAGTCCACAGGGAACCCAAGAAGAGCATATGGGCAGGAATATTGGGGAAGAGACTCAACTCATGAAGAATACAAAGAAAAGGAAAATGGCCATACCAATAAATGGCAAAGGGTGTTGGAAATGGTTCTTTCATCTGCGCATGGCAAATGGAAGATGGGGTATAGATGGCTTCCAAGTTCTAGCACTGGGCACCAGTGGACTGGTGTTGCCATTTTTCAAAAACTGGAAAAAATGCAACCCTGCCCTACTAGTCTTCTTCCATCACACAAATCCCCTAAATATTCCTTTTTCCTGGAGCTAAATCCATTCAGATTCTATATTGTTGCTGTTATTTTGGCTTTGTCTTTATATCTCTGGCCACCTCCTCTAAACCACTCTTGTAACAAATGTTCATATCTCCTCTCCTTTGTCTAACTCTTTTCTTCCTCTCCTTCTTTCCTCTTTCCTTTCTCATTTCCTCCTCCTCCCCACCCCCTGGCTGTTCACAGCTGGTCCTGGAGACATACAATGTCCCGGAGCTGTCAGCAGGCGTCAACTGCACTTTTGAGGACCTGTCAGAGATGGATGGGCTGGTAGTAGGCAATCAGATCCAGTGCTATTCCCCAGCAGCCAAGGAAGTGCCCCGGATCATCACAGAGAATGGTGAGCAAAGCTGGGTGGTAGGCTCCTCTTCCTGCCTGCATAGGAGAACTCAGGACAGAATTAGGGGGACTACAGGAGCCTGCAAGCAGAGGTAGGTCAGAGGAAGTAGTTAGTAGGTGTGTTCCAGGAAGAGGAGAATGAAGTTTTCTTTGGAACTGGATGTTACAGCCATTCTATCTCAGCTCCAGGTTAGCATTCAAGTTTACCTCATCCTAAGTGAGGAGAGCCTATAGAGAGGGTGGGTGGAGGCAAGGCCAAAACAGGAACAGAGCATGCCAGTGGAGGTAAGGCCACTTTGGCTGGCCTGGAGGGATAACTCAAGAGGGAAGCAGGGCAGGGGTCATCTGCTCTGCATCCCTCTGTTTGCCAGGCTGATTTTCTGACTCTGGACCACTGCTTCCTTATGCCCAAGCCACTCTGCTTCCCCACAGCTCCCTGTTGTCTGTGGCCAGCTACACTGGGAAGGGTGAGAGTGGACACTCTAAGGGACAGCCCGGCCTAAGCAGATTCTGTGTTGTCCCTCCCATATGGGCTTGTCACATTCATTCGGAGCTGATTGATTAATGAGGCTCTCAGGAAAGGCAGAGAACAAGGCTAGAAGTAGGGCCCAGGGTCAGGGCTGTGAATTAAACATGGGCTCCAGCTCCTCTTGGTTCCAGCCGAGGGTTCCAGTGTCTCCCCGCCCACATGGAGCCAAGTTCCCAGAGGAGGTGGTGTCAAAACTGGATCTCTCTACACAGAGATGGGGGCCAAGCTCCTGTGTGCCACACACTTACGCATACGTGCAAAGCTGCTTGCATCATTAGTGGCACCATTCCTGAGAGGCAACATCTTTTTTTCTCCCTGGTTACCCATCAGTGTGTGTGTTTATAATTCTGTGAGACCAACGACTACAGAATGCATGTGATGACATTTGAATACCTGTCAGTTGGGGGGGGTGGCATGGGCAAGATGAGCCAGTGGGGAAGCAAGTGATACTGTGTACGTACAAGGGAGAATAGATTAGAACAACCCTCTGCAGCTGCTTTTTGGGGTCACCCTAGAACTGGGCCTTGCTAAATCAGAGATCTGTGAGAGGGACAGCACCCCAGGGGAATAGACTCCATTTCCCAGGGTGCATTACTGCTACTGGGACCATGGCTTTGGCTTTGGCCTTCCCCTGACCTCTTGACTGGCTCTGTCTTATAGGGGACCACCATGTTGTACAGCTGCAACTCAAGTCAAAGGAGACAGGCATGACCTTCGCCAGCACCAGCTTTGTCTTCTACAACTGCAGCGTCCACAACTCGTAAGTACCTCAGCCTCACTCAGCTCCCTGCTACAAAGAGTCACCATGTGGAGGCTCCAAAGGATGCCTCCTTCACTCCCAGGAGGGGGAAGGCCCATCTCCTCTGGCATACACAGAGTTAATGGAAACAGACTAGAAAGAGCCAAGAGTGAGAACCTGTGGGGTATGCTTTCCATATTCCCAGCCCATGCATCTTCTCTGGCATAAATCTTCCTAACCTGATTCCATTCCCACCATCTGCTAGAGGTGGTGCATTTCACATGGTGCATTTCACGTGAAGAACAGAGCAGCTAGCACCTGCTCAGAGGAGGGATCAGAGGAGGAAGAAGGTGGGCGGGTGGTCAAGAAACTCACCTGAATGCTACTCTCCATGGGCTTCTGCAGGATGGGTCAGACTCAAGCTAGCTTGTGAAGGCCCAAGGGAGGAAAGATGTAGGGTAGGTCAGCCCTGGTCCTGGAGGTTAGAACGTCTGGCTTTGACTCTGGCTTTCTTTGACTTAAGCATCTTCCTCCAAGTGGTATGCATGGAAGGCAAGCTCTGGAGTCAGACAGGCTGGGAAACACAGCCATTCTGAGCCCTATTGTCCTTATAAACAGGGAACTACTACTGCTTCCAAGGCTGGCACCATCAAAGAAGCCATTGGCTGGGACATCATGCTCATTGCCACCCCTCCATAGAAGCCTGCTTCTCCTACTGTAGGAGTAAGAGAGCCATTGCAGTGCACCATCTAGAACTCTGTGTGACCCGTTGTTTAAGCACTGCTCATGTTTTTGCTACTTTAGTATTTCCTCCATAAAACGCTGGGATTGGACCAGATTGCAGATATGCAAACCTTATTTTTCATCATAGAAGCTGAAATTTGCTGTAGAAGCTCACTATATAAAATAGGTGGAGGAAGAAGGAACTACTTGGTAGATGGTTTAGGGGTCTGGGACCCCTCTCTCTAGGAGCCCCTCCAAAGGAGCACCATGGAATACCCAGTGTTTCATAGAGAATGGTTTGGAAAACACAGGGCCTGACCTCTGAAAGGCCCACCTGCTTTAACATGCTGTTCTGTGTGCCTCTCCATGCAGGGTAGGTAGTTGACATGACAAAGACAATTTGGGGCTCTAGGGTGGGCCTGTCAATCTGGCTAGTGCAGCTGTACGTCCAGAACTTAACTCTCTTTAGGGGCCCAAAGAAGGAAGCACCCAGCTCTCCCAACCAAAACCAAGTTGCTTCAACACTAGGATCCTCTTCTTGTTTATTGTCATGGAGTTGCCCGTGACTCTTCCTCTTGGTGTCCTAATCCCTCCCTCCCCTCTTCACTCCTGGGAAAGCAGACTAGGTAGACAAAATTGGGTGTCCCTTCCATTCCATCCATAGATGATTTTAAGCAAGACAGTCTGTTACTCATTAGATACAGAAGAGTCAGAAATTAATAAAACCCCAGGCCTCAGTCCCAGTTAATAAAATAAGGCCAGAAAATTCCCAGAGACATCAGCACAGAGATTCATGGGACCCAGGCCCAGAGTTGCCAACTCTCCCTGGGTTAAGTTGGCCAAGTAGAGGAGAGGAGAAAGGTCCTCCAGATGGTGGAAGAACATGTGTGGAACGTGGAAGTTACTCATGGCCTCAGCACCAAAACCATGTGGGCAGTAGACTAGGAAGGGCTTATCCTGTGTGGCAAGACATTTGAGTTTGTGCAATAAAGGGAACCATGTTGGACTTTAAAGCAACAAGAGGCTCTTACAAAGTTGCCTTTGTTTCCTGGACATAAATAGTAAAAGTGGAGTTGGCAACTGTGAAGTAGCCCATGGTACTAAAAGAGTAGCTTTTGCCCACATAGGGACATCTATATGAGTGTTTAACAGTGGAGGCCCAGAGTAATCTGAATTAAAACCTGACTTTTGGTTTGCCCCAACTCTTATCATCTCTAGTCAAGGCACTTGACTCTGGACTTTATCATTTTCCTCTTCTGCAAAGGACCCTGTCATCCTGTGGAAGTGGAGGGAGGCCAATTGGGCTTTGGGGAACCAGGCTTCCAGTGAGGGGCAGGAAGTCTAAGACTATTAGCTCCTTAAGGCTTACAAGGAAAGGGATGGGTCTATGGAAGTCCTGCCCTTTCTGAACATTTAAAGATGTTTCTCTTAACAGTAAAATGTTTTGCTAGACTGTAGAGAGTTAGGCCCTCAGCGGGGGCTCCCCCAGTTCTGTGATGTGGCTTCTTCTCTGTGTCCAGTTGCCTGTCCTGTGTGGAGAGTCCATACCGCTGCCACTGGTGTAAATACCGGCATGTCTGTACCCACGACCCCAAGACTTGCTCCTTCCAGGAAGGCCGAGTGAAGCTGTCTGAGGTAGGTTCCAACAGTGGAGTGGTGAGTGCTGCTGCCTGTGAGCATGGGGCACACAATTCTTTAAGGCCTTCCTTTAAGAGAAGAAAACCTCAGGACCTCTCCCTTCCTCCCCAACCTGAAAACAATGGACTTGGGCTTGTCATACAAGCTCTGTGCTGGGGCCATGTGTTCTGGGTCAGCCCTGGAGGCTCAGGTGCAGATCACTTAAGCCAGGAGGATCCTCTACACGCCAGATAAGTTGTAGAACAATTCCAGAGATTGGTGTGCAGGGGCAGATTTGTACATGATAGGACCATGGTGGATGGTCTCCTCAGCTGTTTCTTATATCTCTGATCACAGGGAAGAACTGAAACAATTGAGTAAAAGGAAAGGCAGAATAAGAATAAAAGAATGGTCAGTATCTCCACCAGAATAGTGGTTCTCTGAGCTTGGATCCCAGACCAACAACATCTGCGTCATCTGAGAACTTGGGAGGAAGGCAGGATCCCCTGCTCTACACTACCCAGCCACAAGAGATGCTTAGGAGCCTGGACTTAGTGATCTAGCTTTAACAAGTCCCTGGAGATTCTGATATTTGTCCAGGGTGAAGAATCCCTGAGGTAGATGTAGGCTCCAAGCTAAGATGTATTTCTCTTCCCTGCTAATCTTTGTGACCTTCCCCAACCCCCCCCCCCCAATCTTTGGTTAACCCTCCAACCCCTGCTGTAGAACTAGTAATCAAACCTAGGGCCCTGTGTGTGCTAAGCAAACTCTCTACCACTGAGCTATACCCCTAGCCTTTCCCTCCTAATTTTTATTAATAAAATAAAAATATTTTCCGCCTATGCTGTTACTTGTGTTATAATGCTAGTTTGTGGACAATGTCCTCAAAGATAGAAGGCATTAAGCATATTTTGGCAGAGTGTGTTGTCCAAACATTATGGTGCTTCTTACATGGCATGTGACTTCCAATACTGGTCCAGTTGTTCTGGACTGAATAGGTGCTTTAGAAGGCTGGTGTTTATAACCGAGAGATAGATAGCTAAATATAAGCGTAAATATAAATACATGCAGCAGTAATTGGATTCCACCGAATTTTCTGGCAATATCACATGGCTTCCCTGCCTGGGTAGAGCTGCTGCCAGCCTGGCCTGCACTCTCCTAGTCCACACTGGACTTACAGGCTTCAGTACCTTCACCAGTCTTAAACATGCCTTCCAGCTCCCTTCATGCTCTACATAGGTGTGTGGCTCCTGTGAGAGCAAGGAACTGTACTGATGCAGAAAAGAATATGTGCTCCTTTGGAGGGAGGCAGACAAATCAAGCCATAACAGCCCTCAACCCTTACCCAGACTTCTGTCCCACTAGAAATCCAGCTTTGGCCAGACCCTTATTGGCAGGAGAAAAACAATCTTGTGTTTGAATGTGAGAGGAAAGATGGGAGAACCACACCTGGTTCATGGGGTCCCCAAGAACAGAGGGGATGTGACTGAATTGTGTGTAGCCACCAAGGCCAAATTCCATTCTTCCAAGACCCTGATGGCTGAGCAAGAGGTCACAGGAGGGAGTGGATAGTAACAGATTTAAGAGCAAAGGGCAGGGATTTAAGGGTGTCATAGAGTAGAGAATGATCCTGATTTGGGGGTGCAAAGGGAGCAACCAAGAAAGAAACAGCAGAAATCAAAACAATTAAATGAATAGATGCTTTTGTAATCTCCCCAGTAGCTTGAATGTTTTTTATCTCACTTTTTTTTCTTTGGGTCTCTCCACACATAAAACCCCTGCTTGATACACCACTCTGAAAAGCTCGAAAGAGGCTGGAAGTCACTTTGTGTCAGCTTCTAGAAAGTTCCTGGCAGGCCTCAGATGGAACCAAGAAGAGACCCTCTCCCTGTGCAGTGGGGAGCTGGCTGGCGGGAAGTGGCTGCTGATTCCTAGTCAGAGAAAGGGAAGAAAATGGTTACATCTTGACTTTCAGTTAGGAGTGTGTCTCTCCTGAGTACATGTCAGTTCTCTGTTTTTCTCTAACAAAGATGAGACAGATCTAGAGGTAACCGGAGAGGTGTGATTCAGATAGCTAGCATGCCCACCCTTGGCATGAAGAGCTGGCAAAAGCCGCATAGCTTTGTTAACCCAGCTGGGACTTTATCTTGGGGACAGGAGTAGACGGGTGGGTTGACCCTCCAAAGCTAGGGGTCAGGGCCCCAGGAAGCATCCTCTCTAGTTCCAATCTGAAATATGCAAGTAACTTGATAAAAGCTGGACAAAATGGCTTTCAGCCTCTCTCCAGCTTTGCAGACTGGTGTATCTGACAGAAGCTTCATGTGTGGAGAGGCCCAAGACTAAAATGAAAGCAAAAAAAATTAAGCTACCTGATGACTGGCAAGGGACCCTCATCATTTAATTACCTTGAAGGAGGTCTGCAATTTCAGCTCTTTCTTGTTCACTCCTCTTATCCCAAGTTTCTTTCTTTTAAATGCTTCAAAGGAACTTGCACCTGCTGCTCAGAAAGAGGGAAAAAAGAATCAGAAGAGAACAAAACAAGAGCCCACCATGTTTCCCTGCACAGTGCAGGAATCCCTATAGGAAGTCATGTCCTCAAGTACCCAGACTGCAAGCTGGACACAGCACCCCACCTCAGCCTGGCTTTGTGAACTCTTGACTAACTGTAGCCATTTTGGGTCAGTAAAAGGAGGTTATTGTCTTCAGAACTCAAGACAAAGTTCTGTATGCTGATAGAAGCATAGCAGTATTTTAAAATATCCTTAGAGGTTTTTTTTTTTTCTTCTGTTTTTGGACAGAGATAGTAGCAGGAGTAAAGGATAACAAAGAAAATGTCACAATTAAAAGGTGATTTTATGGAAGACCCCAGACAATCATTCTCTCTCCATTCCAGAGGAAGAACTTCTTCATAGCATGATACGCCAAGGTTTTGCCATTGTGTTAATAAACTTTCTGTTACTGTAACAAATACCCAAGATAAATCCATTTAAAAAGAAGAAAGGTTGATTTTGGCTCACAGTTTTGGATGTTTTGGTTAAGCAGACCCATTCCTTTCAGAACTGGTGCGAGGCAGCCCTTAATGGTGGTGGGGAATACATGGTTGAGCAAAGGAGCATGGTCAGAAAGTAGAGAAAGAGAGAGAGAAAGAGAGAGAGAAGCATCAAGGGCATGACCCCAACAACCTAAGACCTCCTGCTAGGCCCCACCTCTCAAAGTTTCCACTGCTACATCCCAATTGTCCCAACTGTGCCGAGCTGGGGAATAAGCGTTTAATACTTGGCCTTTGGGAGACATTCCAGGTGCAAACTATAGAAGCTCATTACTTTGATATTTCCCACATGCACTGAGGTTTAAAGGTACAAGAGATCTGTAGATTTGATTTTATAGTTCCATAAAACAAGACCATTGGTCTATATGATCTCCAAATTTCAGCAATTAGAAGTAGAGACAAGCTGGAAAGCTTGAAGAGAAAACCATGCCCCAGAGGGTTCATGCAGGGTGAAAGCTTAGAGTTCAAAGTTATACCTAATGGAGTGACTCAGACAGCCTCAGGGCCTGCAGCTTCTCTGGACATCCAGGTCCAGACCCACCCTCTTAGAATGCAGGTGACACCCAGTCTTCAGTGATTCTTCTCAAAGTCCTTGGGTTCTCATTTCTCTTTACCCTTCAAGTAGAGGGATATACACAGAGTCCTTTTGTTAGCAAGGATTGAGGCTGCCAGGTGGTTTTTCATCTATCCATCACCATCTCTTATCCCCAGGAATGCTTTCATCTGTGTGTCTTCCAGTTTCAACACTGGCTTTGTTGACTATACCAGGGATGTTGAATTACATCTTTTTTTCTTTTTGCTAAACAAAGAGCATGTTCAGGTGAAGTTATTGGTCTGGAATGGAGAACTGGTGGATCATTGTTGTTATATGAACAGCAAGTATTCCAGCATAATTACAATTATTAGAAACAGAATGCCCAAGAACATATGTTGTTTATAGTAACTGTATTCCAGTTACAAGGACTGATTTTGTTTCAGCAAATGATGGCATTGTGATAACATCCTTTGACCCTCAGATCAGCTGCCAGACCCTGGGCACCAAATAGAAAGGGTGGGGAGAGGTGAGGTGAAACTGAAGAGGGGTAGCAGTGTCTTCCTGCTCTCAGGCCTGTTCTCCCATGGGTCCACTGAGGCTTACTGCCATCCCCGAGAATGGTCTTTTCCTGGGCAGCCATTAACATGGTCAGAGGAGCCACTAGTCCCTGTGGGGCTTTGGACTTCCTGGCTCCTCTATAGTCCCACCTGAACCACCCTATCTGATCCACATACTCATTCTGGTTCTGATTCTTGGGGAACAAAGATGAACTTCTGTGGAAAAACAAATCCATTGACCAGAGTTGGTCCTTGGTGGATTATGTTGCTGTTATTTCTCATCTAGACTGAAAAGCAAAGTGAGTTGCTGCTGCTGAATCTAAATTATCCAGGCAGCAAGCTGAATGGGTTTTGCTAGGAGAGCCATGCGTATCTGGCCCACAGGTGTACAAGCTCAGAGAGGAGGTACCCAGCAACACTTCTCCTCTTGAAGTTCAACCAGCATGCCTCCTCCAAAGAACAGTTGTGGGATCAGAGGAGGAGAAGAGAATTCTATTTGATTTGTAAAGCTGTGCTAGAAAAGGTTCTCCCACCATCTCCTCCTTCCCCAACTTCTCTGAGATGTCCAGAGCCAGGACAGACATCATGAAGTCTAGTGTCCAAAGGGTCAAGTTAGCTCTTGGACTGCAGAACTGGAAGGGAACCCCCCTGGACTAGTACTTGCCCCTGGTGCTCAAATAAACTACATCCCCTGAGACAGGGGCAGGCCAAGGGCATTTATACCCAGTTAGACTCTGGAGGGAAATCAGGGCAAGGCCCCCAATCAGTGATTCTGCTTCCCTTCATGCAGGAGAGCCATTCCTGAGCTCCACAGGAATAAAACCACCCCTGCCATGCCCTTCACCCTCCTTTGAGAAATCAAAGCCAAACCCAGCTG